TGACTGGTTGTGTTTATGCCACATTAAAAGGTATATATTCAAAGCTAAATGAAACATCTTTACTATTAGGCCCATAGTGATCCTATAAAATTAATAGGGATTCTATATGTAATTCTATGATTAAATCAAATCAAAATCAAATCAAATGTTATTTGCCACATGCGCCGAATGCAACAGGTGTAGACATTACCGTGAAATGCTTACTTACAGCCCTTAACCAACAATGTATTTATTTTTTAATAAAAAAGTTAAATAAAAAAACAACAAAAAAGTGTTGAGAAAAAAAGAGCAGAAGTAAAATAAAATAACAGTAGGGAGGCTATATACAGGCCCGTCAGGAAGTCCAGGATCCAGTTGCAGAGGGAGGTGTTTAGTCCTAGGATCCTTAGCTTAGTGATGAGCTTTGAGGGCACTATGGTGTTGAACGCTGAGCTGTAGTCAATGAATAGCATTCTCACGTAGGTGTTCCTCTTGTCCAGGTGGGAAAGGGCAGTGTGGAGTGCAATAGAGATTGCATCATCTGTGGATCTGTTGGGGCGGTATGCAAATTGGAGTGGGTCTAGGGTTTCTGGGATGATGGTGTTGATGTGAGCCATGACCAGCCTTTCAAAGCACTTCATGGCTACAGACGTCAGTGCTACGGGTCGGTAGTCATTTAGGCAGGTTATCTTAGTGTTCTTGGGCACGGGGACTATGGTGGTCTGCTTGAAACATGTTGGTATTACAGACTCCAGGGACATGTTGAAAATGTCAGTGAAGACACTTACATTTACATTACATTTTAGTCATTTAGCAGACGCTCTTATCCAGAGCGACTTACAGGAGCAATTAGGGTTAAGTGCCTTGCTCAAGGGCACATTTACGTCATTTAGCAGACGCTCTTATCCAGAGCGACTTACAAATTGGTGCATTCACCCTATAGCCAGTGGGATAGCCACTGGGGGGGGGGGGGGGGTAGAAGGATTACTTTATCCTATCCCAGGTATTCCTTAAAGAGGTGGGGTTTCAAATGTCTCCGGAAGGTGGTGAGTGACTCCGCTGTCCTGGCGTCGTGAGGGAGCTTGTTCCACCATTGGTGTGCCAGAGCAGCGAACAGTTTTGACTGGGCTGAGCGGGAACTATGCTTCCGCAGAGGAAGGAGAGCCAGCAGGCCAGAGGTGGATGAACGCAATGCCCTCGTTTGGGTGTAGGGACTGATCAGAGCCTGAAGGTACGGAGGTGCCGTTCCCCTCACTGCTCCATAGGCAAGCACCATGGTCTTGTAACGGATGCGAGCTTCAACTGGAAGCCAGTGGAGTGTGCGGAGGAGGGGGGTGACGTGAGAGAACTTGGGAAGGTTGAACACCAGACGGGCTGCGGCATTCTGGATGAGTTGTAGGGGTTTAATGGCACAGGCAGGGAGCCCAGCCAACAGCGAGTTGCAGTAATCCAGACGGGAGATGACAAGTGCCTGGATTAGGACCTGTGCCGCTTCCTGTGTAAGGCAGGGTCGTACTCTCCGAATGTTGTAGAGCATGAACCTGCAGGATCGGGTCACCGCCTTGATGTTAGCGGAGAACGACAGGGTGTTGTCCAGGGTCACGCCAAGGCTCTTCGCACTCTGGGAGGAGGACACAACGGAGTTGTCAACCGTGATGGCGAGATCATGGAACGGGCAGTCCTTCCCCGGGAGGAAGAGCAGCTCCGTCTTGCCAGGGTTCAGCTTGAGGTGGTGATCCGTCATCCATACTGATATGTCTGCCAGACATGCAGAGATGCGATTCGCCACCTGGTTATCAGAAGGGGGAAAGGAGAAGATTAGTTGTGTATCGTCAGCGTAGCAATGATAGGAGAGGCCATGTGAGGATATGACAGAGCCAAGTGACTTGGTGTATAGGGAGAAAAGGAGAGGGCCTAGAACTGAGCCCTGGGGGACACCAGTGGTGAGAGCACGTGGTGCGGAGACAGCTTCTCGCCACGCCACTTGGTAGGAGCGACCGGTCAGGTAGGACGCAATCCAGGAGTGAGCCGCGCCGGAGATGCCCAGCTCGGAGAGGGTGGAGAGGAGGATCTGATGGTTCACAGTATCAAAGGCAGCAGACAGGTCTAGAAGGACAAGAGCAGAGGAGAGAGAGTTAGCTTTAGCAGTGCGGAGAGCCTCCGTGACACAGAGAAGAGCAGTCTCAGTTGAATGACCAGTCCTGAAACCTGACTGGTTTGGATCAAGAAGGTCATTCTGAGAGAGATAGCAAGAGAGTTGGCTAAAGACGGCACGCTCAATAGTTTTGGAAAGAAAAGAAAGAAGGGATACTGGTCTGTAGTTGTTGACATCAGTGAGATCGAGTGTTGGTTTTTTGAGAAGGGGTGCAACTCTCGCTCTCTTGAAGACGGAAGGGACATAGCCAGCGGTCAAGGATGAGTTGATCAGCGAGGTGAGGTAGGGGAGAAGGTCACCGGAGATGGTCTGGAGAAGAGAGGAGGGGATGGGGTCAAGCGGGCAGGTTGTTGGGCGGCCTGCAGTCACTAGTCGCAAGATTTTATCTGGAGAGAGAGGGGAGAAAGAAGTCAAAGCATAGGGTAAGGCAGTCTGAGCAGGACCAGCAGTGTCATTAGACTTAACAAACGAGGATCGGATGTCGTCAACCTTCTTTTCAAAGTGGTTGACGAAGTCATCCACAGAGAGGGAGGAGGGGGAGGGAGGGGGGGGTTTGGATTCAGCAGTGAGGAGAATGTGGCAAAGAGCTTCCTAGGGTTAGAGGCAGATGCTTGGAATTTAGAGTGGTAGAAAGTGGCCTTAGCAGCAGAAACAGATGAAGAGAATGTAGAGAGGAGGGAGTGAAAAGATGCCAGGTCGGCAGGGAGTTTAGTTTTCTTCCATTTCCGCTCAGCTGCCCGGAGCTCTGTTCTGTGAGCTCGCAATGAGTCATCAAGCCACGGAGCTGGAGGGGAGGACCGAGCCGGCCGGGAGGATAGGGGACACAGGGAGTCAAAGGATGCAGAAAGGGAGGAGAGGAGGGTTGAGGAGGCAGAATCAGGAGATTGGAGGGAGAAGGATTGAGCAGAGGGAAGAGATGATAGGATGGAAGAGGAGAGAGTAGTGGGAGAGAGAGAGCGAAGGTTGCGGCGGCGCGTTACCATCTGTGTAGGGGCAGAGTGAGTAGTGTTGGAGGAGAGCGAGAGAGAAAAGGATACAAAGTAGTGGTCGGAGACATGGAGGGGAGTTGCAGTGAGATTAGTAGAAGAGCAACATCTAGTAAAGATGAAGTCAAGCGTATTGCCTGCCTTGTGAGTAGGGGGGGACGGTGAGAGGGTTGGCCAGTTGGTCAGCACATGCTCAGAGTACACGTCCTGGTAATCCATCTGGCCCTGCGGTCTTGTGAATGTTGACCTGCTTAAAAGTCTTACTCACATCGGCTACGGAGAGCGTGATCACATAGTCATCCAGAACAGCTGGTGCTCTCATGCATGCTTCAGTGTTGCTTGCCTCGAAGCGAGCATAGAAGTCGTTTAGCTCGTCTGGTAGGCTTGTGTCACTGGGCAGCTCGCGGCTCATAAAAAAAGTGTGTGCAGACATAGGAGGTCCCACTACCGGCAAGAAAATACATCTACTTTCACCCCTGATCAGAAGTGTGATGGCTGTATTGTGTGATAAAAGCGTCTGCTAAATGACCAAAATGTTATGTGAAAATGAACACTTGCAAAGCAAACTCGGTATTATTCTAATGAACACCGCCTCCAAACATGGCCAACTTCTTTTACAATACAAATTATTTGGAGCAGAGCTCATTATAGTAATAGCCAGTGTGCTTTGCAAGTGTTTAGTTTTACCTTCACATTTTGGCCATTTGGCATACGCTCTTATCCAGAGCTACAGTACTTAAGGCGTCCATGTGCTTCCCAGCCAAAACAGTTCGGAAGAGTTTGTGCATATATTATGACGACATTTTTTGAAGTTTGTGTTCATTTTGGACTTCTGTAAGGGTTTTTTGGCTGTTCAGGCACACAAAAAATGTTCTCAAGGCAATCCGAAGTCCATAGCCAAAGTCTACGCCCCTTCATTGGTGATTGGTCAACAGTAGTGATTCTTCAATAAAGTCTTTGTTGTCATTCAACGATAGACGACTCGTTTTCATGCACATTTTCTCATTGAGAAATACTGCACCAAACATCTTAGTTAGATGTAAAATTGCGCGACTAAGATGTCCTCAGCAAAAGGTTAAAATAAATGACAGATGTCTTGAGTTATCTTAGATTAATTCGGACTATTTTGACTATGGCGTCTCAAAATGGACAAACAGTACTATTGGCGCTTTTCTCTCGTTTTTCAAGCGAGTTTTTTAAGGGAGTCACCAAACGAGGGGTGACAACATTCAGTGGAGGTGCTGGCGAAAGAACTGCAGAGCAAGAGTGACTACAAACATGTTCGATGCTGAAGATGCAAAGCCAAATATTCGAGTACTCGAGTTCCATGAACATGTGCATCCACCAGAGATGGGAATGGTGAACAGAACCGATTCCGACAAAGTGTAACAGCAGAGATGAGGCGGGAACCGACTGTACCAATAAAAAAGGTTTACATTGCAGAATGTGTGCGATATTCAGCGTCTCATTACAACATAATTTTGTAATGGGATGTAATTGTGAATCGAAATGACTCATTTGGACAATGTCCCAGTATGCCAATTGCCTACTGTTAAACTGGGAGTCCTCTAGATAATTTTATTGGAGAAAAAATATTTTGGGGGATTAAGAATTTCTTAACAGAAATCTATTTTCTAAATATGATCAAATGTAACATTTCATTTTACTCAAATCTGATATCAGCTAGTTTTGCTAGCTGCATTTTCAAATCAAATCAAAGTTTATTGGTCACATATATAGATTTGCATATGTTTTCACAGGTGCAGCGAAATGCTTGTGTAGTCAATAGTCTATAGCTGATCTCTCCCTGTGATAAAGCCATTTCTGTATCAGATGAGATTGGGTCTGCTTATTTATTTTTGTACATGTAATGTTGAACCTGACAGGTCTGGGTATCCCTTCTGAATGGCACCCAGCATGTCCTCTACAGCAGGTCTGTCTATAGGGCTGTCACAACAGTGAGAGAACAGCACCCTCCCCTGGTCATCCAGGACAAAGTCTCCTCCAAGCTGAGAAATACATGGAAAACAGAATTAACAAAAAGATAACCATAAAAGTACACTCCTTAATAAATGTATTCTTTATGTATCTGATCATCTCACAGCCACACCTGAAACATATTATCTTCTATAGACGACAGACCTCTTGGAAACCCCAGGTTTGCCACAACGTATTCAGCATAGAGTAGCATGTTGTTGAAGTTCAACACATTCTTTAGAGATGTTCCCAAGCCAAAGGCGCTGTATTCCTGCAATCCCCCAACATAACATGACTGTTTATAGTGCATTGTAAATTAATAGTAGTAGTAAATGTACTACATAGTATGTATAACATATCATTTTAGTCAGATAAGTATTAGGAAGTGAGTGAATCAAATACATTCTACACTGCCATGGGCCTGGTTCTAAATCAATCAATCTGCCTGGTAACTCTAACCTTCCTGTGTGGGTCCAACAGCATGTCATACTGGCAACCTGTCTCCGCTAGCCAATGCAACGCCCCCTCTCTGCAGCCAAATGACACCAACACCACTCGCACTGAACATGCATCCAGGGCAATCTGCAACACAAGGCACAGTGCTCTGTATAATGGCCTCAACTTGAATACGTTTCTTTCTGTCCAGCACCTGAATATGGACATGCATATTTTTTATTTATCACAGTTCTGTGTACCCATAAAGGTTATAGGCTATGGACAGTGAACTAATGTTGATGAGAAGAGTCAACAAGATGTATCATAAACCTTAGATACAACTGTCAACACATGGGCCTCCAGATCTTTCAGATGGATTCGACAGAGGCAGGAGAACTGACGGATCAACACAAGTAGAACTTAACTCACCTCTCCCAAAGTACTTCCCTAACGTCAGAGTTCTGTACAAATACAGATAGACAGACGAAATACGTAACTTCTGACAGACATAAGTTATTGCCCTGGTTTTACCTATAATCTATCACAAGGAAGAGGCCATGTAAGACAATGTAATCAAACTCACGCTCCAGTCTGGGCATCAATGAGGGGTATGTCAGGCGACAGGCATTTTACTTGTGGCTCTTGACCAAAGATTTTATCACCCAGATGTAGCTCCTTGTCCAACTACTCCAGAAAACCATCCCATTGCACCTATTACCAAGCACATCCAGTGGATGTCGGAGGAAGGAAGTGATAAGTTAATGCAAGGTAGCGGCCTCAAGAACAAGAAAAAACGCTAACCTGCTAAGTTAATACACAAGAGATTTTACACAAAATCATGCAAGTAATATCAAACATAGGGAATCTGTGTAACTTCTGTATGAGCTGTTCAAAGGTTAATCTAATGAGATAAACAGTTAATTATTACTAAAGACATTGACTCTAATAAAGTTGATCTCACAAAGGTGTTTACATTCAAAGTAAATGGTTTTGATTAGGAAACATAGATCTGCTATATGTCTTACTGGTAGCTTCTCTTCCATAGTTCATCAGCATCCTTTTTCATCTTTACAGACAGGCTGGTGGTGTATAATAATCAATGTCTTTCATTGTTTGCAAACATATTTGGTAGTCATTTCCAATAATAATCATTGAATCTATATAGGCTAGATGTTGCGTCATTTCCTGAGTATATTTTCAGTGCCTGAAAGACTGAGTCAGTTTGATGGCACAGACGTGCTTCTAACGGATTGTAAAGGTTTATTCACTTGTTAATGTAAAACAGAACCTTGTGAATAACCTTGCCCCTGCTGGAATAAGTCCCAGTAGTGATTGGTCCAGTTCAATACTGATCTTCTTCCTGATGTAGTCTTGCAGCAGTCCTATAAATTAAATACATGCAGCTGTGATATACATGTTTATTTAAACAACTGTAATAACCTATTTTTAGCACATGGCTGACTTTAACTTACTGTTGCCATTTTCCAACAGCTCAATAGCCTTCTACGTATTGTCCATATTGAACAGGAATTAATCATGAATCTTTAATAGATTTGATAGCTCTAGCCCTAGCTGTAGTCTAGTACACAACCTACCCTCTTTGCTCTCCTGTTCAGCGAGTTTCAATAGGGCTTTTCCATTTTCAACAAAACTTGTCAAAGCTTTCGCACAAGACAGCCTAATCAATCACTGGATTGATTAGGACAGTGTCTCCTTCTCAGTCATGTGGTATGGTTAATGATTAACTACTAGCAAAGATGTGAAATAAATACAAGATATACAACTGGTCTTCTGTAGCTCAGCTGGTAGAGCACGGCGCTTGTAACGCCAAGGTAGTGGATTCGATCCCCGGGACCACCCATACACAAAAATGTATGCACGCATGACTGTAAGTCGCTTTGGATAAAAGCGTCTGCTAAATGGCATATTACATTATATTATAACTCCTAATCAATCCAGTGTTAGGCTTCCCATTTATACAACTCCCCCTTCTCAACTTCTCTTCTAACATGGAGTCATAGAAAGAAGACAACAAGAGCACGTTTTTATTGTTTATTCTTAAAAATTCCAGTCAAATAAGTTATGATCACTTCATGTTCTTCATCTCTGATTGTAACCTACTGTAACTACACCATAGTCTAGTCAACTGTCTCCAGTTCCCTATCTCTCTGCTCCTGGGCCTCGTCTCTTTCAGCTACTGCAGGAGAAGAAGAAGAAGGGCCGGTGGTCTCCTCTGTCATCTTGTCTCCATTACACCCCTCTATGTGATGTTCCTCTGGGGCCTTGGTGGCCTCGCTACTGACCTCTGGGGCATTGGTGGCCTCGCTGCTGACCTCTGGGGCATTGGTGGCCTCGCTGCTGACCTCTGGGGCATTGGTGGCCTCGCTGCTGACCTCTGGGGCATTGGTGGCCTCGCTACTGACCTCTGGGGCATTGGTGGCCTCGCTACTGACCTCTGGGGCATTGGTGGCCTCGCTGCTGACCTCTGGGGCATTGGTGGCCTCGCTGCTGACCTCTGGGGCATTGGTGGCCTCGCTACTGACCTCTGGGGCCTCAGTGTGTCCATGTGGCTTTGTGGTGGTCTCCTCCTCTTCCTCATTGTCAAAGAACTCAGGTGGCACAACATTGGAAAGGGTGAACGACATTTGAATCTCCTGCAGACGGGCCTTCTGGGCCTTCAGGTTGTCCAGCTCGCTGGTCAGGTGTGTTGCAAGAGCGGGTTTTTCCGGAGCAGGAGTTATGACTGCAAGGGTTTCTGTAGCAACAGGTATTTCGTGAGCAGGGCTTTCAGTAGAGGAGTTTTCAGAGGGTGTCTCACTGGGCTTCTCAGCAACAGGTACCTCTGGGTTCTCCTTCTCCTTTGTCTCATTTTCTTTTGTCTCAGCTACATTGGTGGCAGCCGCTGGATTAGCTTCCTGAAGCTTATGAGAGAGACTGTTCCTCTCCTCCTGCAGTGCCCGGCACAGTTTCTCCAGCTTCTGGGTCTTCAGGGTGAAGAGCTCAAACTCCTTTTCCTTCAGGGTTTTCTGAATGGAGTAGAAAGATACAGGGTAAAAATCAGTACAGAGATTCATAAAGATCACTCATAGGTATCATTCCAAACGGTATCCTATTCCCTATATAGTGCATATAGTTAATAGGGCTATGGTCAAGAGTGGTGCATTAGGGAATAGGGTGCATTTGGTATGCAGCGACTATCTCCACCATGAGTCAAAGAAGAGTCATATTTAACTCTTTGTTGCCTGTTTGTCTTTCATGTATTTGACAGAGGGTGAACGTAAAAGTAACATAAAAAAAATGGGTGAAAAGTGTATTCTATGTGTATGGTATCTTACGTCTGTGAGCATATCAATAAGAGCCTTGTTGCAGCCCTCGAAACGGCTTTTCCATTGAATAGACTCCTTCTCCAGCTTCCTCATCCTCTTGGTCATCTACAAGACAAAACCCATCACATTTTAAAGTTTGTCAGTTAAATCGAAGAGTAAACAAAGAGAATGTATTTGTGCCATGGCAACAAAATCGACCTCATATAAGATCATAGATAAGGTCATCATTATAGGAGATAGTAATATACGGAAAGCAAGACTTAGGCTACCTTCTCCATGTCCTGTTTGAAGCAGGCGTACACGCCGTTGCTCTTCGACACAGTCCCCTGGAACTGATCAAACTTCTCAGAGTACATGGACAACTGGAGGGAGAAATTTGACATTTTAATGTGTAAAAGATAGAGAGAAAGAGAGAGACACAGAGAGAGAGACAGAGATGTTTATTTTATTTTATTAGGATCCCTATTAAATCAAATCAAATCAAATGTTATTTGTCACATGCGCCGAATACAACAGGTGTAGGTAGACCTTACAGTGAAATGCTTACAAGCCTTTAACCAACAATGCAGTTTTAAGAAAGAATACCAAATAAAATCACACAAAAAAATACAATATAAAGTAATACTAAATAAAAGTAACAAATAATCAAAGAGAAGCAGTAAAAATAACAATAGCGAGGCTATATACAGGGGGTACCGGTACCGAGTCAATGTGCGGGGGCACCGGTTAGTCGAGGTAATTGGAGTAATATGTACATTTAGGTAGAGTTATTAAAGTGACTATGCATAGATAATAAACAGAGAGTAGCAGCAGCGTAAAAGAGGGTTGGGGGGGGCAATGCAAATAGTCTGGGCAGCCAAATCATTAGATGTTCAGGAGTCTTATGGCTTGGGGGTAGAAGCTGTTTAGAAGCCTCTTGGATCTAGACTTGGCGCTCCGGTACCACTTGCCTTGCGGTAGCAGAGAGAACAGTCTATGACTAGGGTGGCTGGAGTCTTTGACAATTTTTAGGGCCTTCCTCTGACACCGCCTGGTATAGAGGTCCTGGATGGCAGGAAGCTTGGCCCCAGTGATCTACTGGGCCGTACGCACTACCCTCTGTAGTGCCTTGCGGTCGGAGGCCGAGCAGTTGCCATACCAGGCAGTGATGCAACCAGTCAGGATGCTCTCGATGGTGCAGCTGTAGAACCTTTTGAGGATCTGAGGACCCATGCCAAATCTTTTCAGTCTCCTGAGGGGGAATAGGTTATGTCGTGCCCTCTTCACGACTGTCTTGGTGTGCTTGGACCATGTTAGTTTGTTGGTGATGTGGACACCAAGGAACTTGAAGCTCTCAACCTGCTCCACTACAGCCCCGTCGATGAGAATGGGGGCGTGCTCAGTCCTCTTCTTTTTCCTGTAGTCCACAATCATCTCCTTTGTCTTGATCACGTTGAGGGAGAGGTTGTTGGCCTGGCACCACACGGCCAGGTCTCTGACCTCCTCCCTATAGGCTGTCTCGTCGTTGTCGGTGATGAGGCCTACCACTGTTGTGTCATCTGCAAACTTAATGATGGTGCTGGAGTCGTGCCTGGCCATGCAGTCATGAGTGAACAGGGAGTACAGGAGGGGATTGAGCACGCACCCCTGAGGGGCCCCTGTGTTGAGGATCAGCGTGGCGGATGTGTTGTTACCTACCCTTACCACCTATTAGCCAATGCCAATGGCGACAGCTAGTCTTACACAGTCCGACACATAACAAAAAATACATTACAGACAGAGAGAGACTTGAGACAGAGAGACAGTCTCTGTTTACCTGGGCCTGCATCCCTTCCTCTTGCTCTTTCAGAATCTGCACCTTCACCTGCGACTGTGCCGCCTTATTTATCAACTTTGGAAAAATAAAATGTATTAAAAAAAAGATGTTGCTAATTCTTTACTTTATCACTGAATAGAATTTCTCATTGAAAATATTTTATGTTAGTGTCTAACTTATTCCATGCACTGATCTATATATTATACAGTATACAAATAAACTGAACATGTGATTAAAAACTCTTACATAACAAATACATATGAATAAAATATCTTAAATTGTATAACATCAATTAAGTCAGTCAAGACTTGCTGAAAGATGCTAACTTACATGATCCCTCTCACGCTTGTGCTTCTCCTCTCCCTCTTTAATGATCATGTTTGCTTGTTCAAGTTTGGTTTCCAACAACTTCTGCTGCAGGTCTCGATGTTTGAATACCTTTTCCAGGTTCTGCAAGGTAAGAAGAGGGAGACTGGGTCACTTTCACTGAGACAAACATTACACATTCGACGCAACATAGCCACAGTAAGACACGAGAAACATTTTTACTTGAAAGGTGAACTATGACATTTATGCAGAGGAGATGGTGTAAAATTAACAGAGCCAAGCTTATCAGACCCTAACAACACTGTGAAAAAAACTGAATGACCTTGCCTTCTTTGCACTAACACTCACACTTTTATTTTCTTACCAGCACTGACTTTGCTGATAGCTACTTTATTGAAGAACATTTTACTTACTAAGACTGTGATGTGTGGTTGTCTCACCTAGCTATTTTAAGATTAATGCACTGCTAAATTACTAAAATATAAATGTAAGACAAATGAAAAACTGAGCATGCTCTTGAGTCTTGACTCATCACACATTGACTCCTGGTGTTGCATGGGCCTGAGGGGGTCTCTATCTCAGTTGAGTATTGAATGCCGTCGCTAAGGAATTTGAAATGTGTATGAAATCTGATCCAAGATGGCGTAGTATTGTGTTGTGTCCTTGTGTAAATAGCCAGTTTTTTGTCTTTTATTCGTATATATTTCTATATCTCACTTTCCATCAATTAACTAAATATACTTTCCTACAACCCGCCTCACCCAATGTGGAATGGATTCTATTATTTCTTTCTTTTTATCAAGATCCTACGGCTGAAACTAGCCAGCTAGCCAGCTAACTAGCTACTTGCTATTAGCCACCGTTAGCGGTCTTCACCACTGTCCGTGGCCTGCACTACCTACCAGCCAGCTCTAGCCTGGACAATTATCGGCCAGTCTGCACAGCGTGCTATCGACCCAGAGCATATCGGATTTTCTGCCGGAATCACTGAATCACTGGACCTTAACACCGGACCTTCGCAACTAGCTAGCTGCAACCGAATGGCTGTTGTTGGCTAATCACCACTTCCCGACGTACCAGTTAGCCTTGAGCTAGTCTCGAGCCAGGCCCATCTCCCGGCTATCTACCTCTCTGTCAAACGGATGGGACCTCCCAGTGTCGACACAGAGCCCCGCCGATCCATCACGACTGGTCTGCTGACGTAATCGTCTGATGTGGTTTCAACAGGCTTCCCGTTGCGACGACCACGAAGATCCATCTGCTAGCCCCGGCCCGCTAGCACGCGCAATCAACAGCCATGCCTCCTGCTCGCCTGTGCAGTCAGGAACCAATATACACAATCAGTTAGGAAAGCAAAGGCTAGCTTTTTCAAACAGAAATTTGCATCCTGTAGCACTAACTCCAAAAAGTTTTGGGACACTGTAAAGTCCATGGAGAATAAGAGCCATACAACACTCCTTCCGTGGCCTCCAACTGCTCTTAAACGCTAGTAAAACTAAATGCATGCTCTTCAATCGAATACTGCTTGCACCCGCCCGCCCGACTAGAATCACTACTCTCGGCAGGTCTGACTTAGAATATGTGGACAACTACAAATACCTAGGTGTCTGGTTAGACCATAAACTCTCCTTCCAGACTCACATTAAGCATCTCCAATCCAAAGTTAAATCTAGAATTGGCTTCCTATTTCGCAACAAAGCCTCCTTCACTCATGCTGCCAAACATGCCTTCGTAAAACTGACTATCCTACCGATCCTTGACTTCGGCAATGTCATTTACAAAATAGCCTCCAACACTCTACTCAGCAAATTGGATGTAGTCTATCACAGTGCCATCCGTTTTGTCACCAAAGCCCCATATACTACCCTCACTACATATTCGTCGCCTAACCCACTGGCTCCAGGTCATCTATAAATCACTTCTAGGCAAATCCCCGCCTTATCTTAGATAATTGGTCACCATAGCAACACCCACCCGTAGTATGCGTTCCAGCAGGTATACCTCACTGGTCATCCCCAAAGCCAACACCTCCTTTGGCCGACATTCCTTCCAGTTCTCTGCTGCAAATGACTGCAACAAACTGCAAAAATCTCTGAAGCTGGAGACACTTATCTCCCTCACTAACTTTAAGCATCAGTTGTCAGAGCAGCTTACCGATCACTGCACCTGTACACAGCCCATCTGTAATTAGCCCACCCAACTACCTCATCCCCATATTGTTATTTACATTGTTATTTATTTTGCTCATTTGCACCCCAGTATCTCTATTTGCACATCATCTTCTGCACATCTATCACTCCAGCGTTAATACTAAATTGTAATTATTTTGCACTATGGCCTATTTATTGCCTTACCTCCATAATTTACTACATTTGCACACACTGTATATAGATTTTCTATTGTGTTATTGACTGTACGTTTTGTTTATTCCATATGTAACTCTGTGTTGTTGTTTTTATCGCACTGCTTTGCTTTATCTTGGCCAGGTCGCAGTTGTAAATGAGAACTTGTTCTCAACTGGCTTACCTGGTTAAATAAAGGTGAAATAATAAAATAAAATAAAATGTGACGTACTGTTAGAGAGACGCACATGGTAACATTTGTTTTGTTGTATTGAAAAACGCTATATAAAATCAATATATTATTATTATAGCATGCAGATATAAGTAAACACATTCAGTTTAAACTACACTACAAGCTCCAGCCCAGAGCATCTGTAAAAAGGCCCCATACCGCTTCTCTTGCGTCGTACTGGGAGATGAGGCTCTTGAGTTTCTCTGCCAGGTCACTGTTCTCCTGACAGAGTTTGGTGTTGCGGTTACTGTGCTCCTCGATCTGGCCCTGGATGTCCGTTAGCGTGCTCTGGAAGTGAGTGGTGATGTCCTTCCTCTTCAGGTCGTCCTCCCTGCACCTCTGGAGGGTCTCCTCCTGCATGATCACATTATACAGGATGATGCACAGTTAGTTGGGCGGCAGGTAGCCTAGCGGTGGGTTGCCAGTTAGAATCCCGGGTCCGACGGGAAAGAAAATCTGTCGGGAAGTGAGCTGGCAACCGGAGGGTTGCTGGTATCAAATCCTATGACCATTGCCTGTCATTGTGCTCTTCAGCAAGGCACTTAACCCCCCACAACAACAGCTCCCTGAGTGCCCAGTGTGGCAGCCCCCCGCACCTCTCCAAAACCTCTATATGTATGTGTGTCTTTCGGATGGGTTGGGTTAAAAGCGGAAGTCAAATTTAGGTTGGACCTTGTGTGCAATGTATCTTCATCTCACACTCACAGACACCTGATGCACAGTAAGTTACACTCACAGATATACTCATAATGCAAGGAAATATGTACTGTAATGTCGCTGCACATAGAAGCAGACACACAGACTGTGTATGCACATACTAAGGGCTCTATTCAATCCGCATCCCGGAAGTTCAGCTTTACAGCATCATTGAAATTGAAAGGCAATGTTCTGCATTCACGGGAAACGCTGCATATGTCAGCTCAATCGGAAATTACCTTTACATTTCTAACAGCGGAATCTGTAACGCTTCATCTTTACAAATTGAATAGAGCCCTAACTGTAGCCTAACCATACACATGCCACACAAATTTAACTTAGTGAGGGCCACTGGTTGTTGCATTAGACCTGGGTCAGTATTTGAGCTTGGAGTTTGCACTTGATTTAGCTTGGAGTTTGAACTTTCAGGACTATTCCATTGGTTCCACTGTATAGCGCAAATGAAATCAAGGTTTAGGTATGCAAAAGTAGTATTTGATATATGCATTTGATTAAGTTTGGTTGGCAGTAGACTGTAAGAAGAGAGCCTCACCTAGGACGTTACACAGAGCAGTATGGGTACTGTAGTCCTACAGTATATGCTACAACGAGAGGCTCACCTTCAGTGTCTTGTTGTGTCTCTGCAGCTCCCTACACAGGGACTCCAGTTTGCTGCGGGCCAGAACGGCTCTGCTGTGTTCACTCTGAAGCTGGTCCTTCTCCTTCATCACCTGAAGAAGCTTCTTCTGCAGAACCTTCAGCTGCTTCTGGTCACCCCGGTGCTCCTCCAGCTACCAACACACACACATACCATTTTATTTCTTCACAAACAAATCTATGTAGAATAAGCAAATACTGCTACATAGGTGTAGACTAATGATATGGTACTGGTTAGCAGCCAGTTAGATAAATATAACTATATGCTTCACTACGAATAATATAAAACGTAATTAGCATGAACAGATAATACAAATGTACATGGGCAAAGATCACATCTAGTTCCCTACTAGACACCACAGCACACTACCTCTGGCGCATAATTTGGCATGGTCCACTCACCAGCTCAGCGTGCTTCTTGATGATGGCCTCCAGTTTTTGCTCTGGAGTGCCAAGCTTGTTCAAGCTCTGCATCAATAGCATGGCCTCTTTGCCTGAATAGAGATAATGTTACAGTACAGTTAATAACACTATAACTATTGATACACTGTAACACTAAACACTATTGATGCTGAATAGAACAAAAGAAGAACAAGAAGAACAAGAAGAAGAACAATAACAACAACAACAACAACAACAACAACAACAACAACAACAACAACAACACACCAAGGCTTTTCAGCATCTTCTTCTCTAGTTTCTGGTCCTTGGCGGAGCTCTTCTTGGTGACCTGCTCCTTCAGCACCTCCTCCTCCACCTCTTCCTGCTCAGCAGGCTCCTCACTGGCCTCCTGGTAGGTACTGATGATGTCCTCTAGCTGCTTGCTCAGGTCCTCTGTCAGGTCCACCTGACCCTGACACTGGGCTGGGTCCCCCTGTTCACTCACTTGACATGTCTCCATTCTGATAGGCTTACACTAAGACATAATGATACAGCATATAATTAGAATTACTTGAACTAATATGGACATATTCTAGTTCAAGTTCAATGTTTCCGTGAAGGGTGATAGTTAATGAGACTAATTAAAAGCAGTGCTATATACTAATAGTAATTGTATATACTACTGTATAAGAAAAGCCAAGGTCAAACCAATCTTTATCAGAATAGCTGAAACAATCTTTTCCAATATTATTAAAACTGTTTTCTCTTCTTGATGTATTTTATTACCCTTAATGACATAGTCGATCAGATTAGCAATTTATAATCTATCAACCTCCACTGTCTGTTTGTCTATTGAAGTCTGGTAGTGCTTGACTGTGGCCTGTTTATGTGCATATAATTAGCCTGCTGCCTGGGTGCATACCCTCTACTCAGTCTCAACTCACAGGCAGAGCAGAGTAGTCAGAGCACATGGCACCTGTTCTAGGCCCATATGCTATTTTAGGAGCTTCTTAATATGGGCATGTTATTTATTTATTTCACAATCTTACTCTTGTTGTTGTAAATTGTAGTATACTCATATTATTTGTTAAAGTACTTGATAGATTAATGACACTAAATGCAGCACTTTAAATATCCAGCAAAGTACGTAAGTGACTACACAACTGAGTTAGAGTTTCAATTTAGTCAGAAGAAATTAAGACATATCTATTTCTATTGCCTTCCTAATCCATTCCAAGAAAAACTTTGAACAGAACACTAATTTGATACAATGGGACATGTAAAAATGCATTTGGCCTATATTGTAGCTGACAACTTCTCATAATGATGGAACAAGAGGCCCTGTTCCATCATGATAGAAACAACTACTTCACGAGTGACAAGTCACCCACTCCCCCCAAAAATTAAGCTTATCCAAAATACATTCAAACTATCCTTACAATGCACAAGACAGAAAACATATACCCATGAAAATATTTCATTCTACACCATCCAAAACTCAAATATCTGCAAACAAACACAGAGAAGATATTGAACTGCTTCTTACCAAAAGGTCCAGGATTTAGGAGAGGGGAAAGGAGACGTGAGGAGTGGGGTAAGAGAGAGAGAGAGAGAGAGAAAGAGGGTGTGGGGGGGGGGGACTCTCGCTCTGGCCCCACAGATATAACAGCTGTGAAGAAGACCTCAAAATAAACCACTGGGACACAACTGACACCAACACAGAGAGAGACAGGGGAACATAACGACACCAACACAGAAAGAGAGAGGTGACAGAGAAAGAATAACATCCCCTGTTCAGAACGTCTCACAATGAAACCACACAAACATTATGCCTCTAAGCTTGTAATGACCTAAGACAAGAGTTATGTTGATATTTACCAAGAAACTTTAAGGACTTTGCAACAGTATTGTCAGTGGTCGCGTTAACGCAGGATTCGCATTTATCACGCAGAAAAGGAAAAATAAAACGCAGAAAATAGGCTATATCTTGTTGCGTTTTATAAACTCAGATCTAAAATGCTTTATTGTAAATTCTGCTCGGCTTCAGTCAGTGTTCGCTCCAAATCATGAATGTAAAAGGACTAATTTTGTGCTTTAGTTGCACTTCTACACTCCTGACTGGTTGCATCACTGCCTGGTATGGCAACTGCTCGGCCTCCGACCACAAGGCACTACAGACGGTAGTGCGTACGGCCCAGTACATCACTGGGGCCAAGCTTCCTGCCATCCAGGACCTCTATAACAGGCGGTGTCAGAGGAAGGCCCTAAAAATTGTCAAAGGCTCCAGCCACCCAAGTCAAAGACTGTTCTCTCTGCTACCGCACAGCAAGCGGTACCGGAGCGCCAAGTCTGGGTCCAAAAGGCTTCCTAACAGCTTCTACCCCCAAGCCATTAGACTCCTGAACAGCTTATCAAATGGCTACCCGGACTATTTGCATTGTAGCTGGCTACATTCTTTCTTTGATAAACATTCAAAATATGATGGCCATGCATCATTTAGTTCTTGCACACCCCTTATCACTCCAATGAAGCAAAACACCACTGTTGACTTTCAATATAAAACACAGGTGAAATGGTTTAAAACGCATGTATTTTATGGTCTGCGTTTTGAAAATGCTGATTTCTGAAAGTTAATGCGACCCCTGGAACTATGTAGATTCATAAACTATACAACCAGCTATCATATTTTGCTCACCCTGCAGCATATTAGAACTGAATTAATAGACAGCGAAAAAAATTGGGGACTAAAACACACATTTTATAATTGATCATGCTACGCTTAGTAACAGTGGCTGGAGTATGAAGGATTGTGTTTAGGTGCAAGTGACGTTCTTATGAATTACCTCCCCTTTCTCAAAGTAACAGTTGCCTGTAGTGATTATTCATCACAAGAGAATGCCAGTAGAATATAAATATCTATTCACTTTATTCTGGAGAGTTCTCCCTCCCAGGACAAGTATGATACCATCTGAAACCTCACTGTGTTTTCTCTATCCTGACTGTCCTGTAATGATGTCAATAACTAAACAAGGGAATTAGCTACTGCTTTAATATCTGATCTAAGAGGTAAATGATCTGTAACTTGGTGAGTTAACAGTAACACTGACTTTTAGGAGTAGTTGAGGAGTAGTTCTGTCTGTAATAAAGCCATTTTGTGGGGGGAAAAAAACATTTTAATTGGCTGGGCCTGGATCCCCAGCCTGGCTGCCAAGTGGGTGGCCTCTATCCCCCAAGACACATCCATGGCTGCACCCCTGCCCAGTCAGGTGAAATCCATAGATTAGGGCCTAATTTATTTATTTCAATTGACTGATTTCCTTATATTGACTGTAACTCAGTACAATCTTTGAAATTGTTGCATATTGCGTTTATAATTTTGCTCAGTATATACAGTATGTACAGTGGGGAAAAAAGTATTTAGTCAGCCACCAATTGTGCAAGTTCTCCCACTTAAAAAGATGAGAGAGGCCTGTAATTTTCATCATAGGTACACGTCAACTATGACAGACAAAATGCGAGAAAAAAAATCCAGAAAATCACATTGTGAATTTATTTGCAAATTATGGTGGAAAATAAGTATTTGGTCAATGACAAAAGTTTCTCAATACTTTGTTATATACCCTTTGTTGGCAATGACACAGGTCAAACGTTTTCTGTAAGTCTTCACAAGGTTTTCACACACTGTTGCTGGTATTTTGGCCCATTCCTCCATGCAGATCTCCTCTAGAGCAGTGATGTTTTGGGGCTGTCGCTGGGCAACACGGACTTTCAACTCCCTCCAAAGATTTTCTATGGGGTTGAGATCTGGAGACTGGCTAGGCCACTCCAGGACCTTGAAATGCTTCTTATGAAGCCACTCCTTCGTTGCCCGGCGGTGTGTTTGGGATCATTGTCATGCTGAAAGACCCAGCCACGTTTCATCTTCAATGCCCTTGCTGATGGAAGGAGGTTTTCACTCAAAATCTCACGATACATGGCCCCATTCATTCTTTCCTTTACACGGATCAGTCGTCCTGGTCCCTTTGCAGAAAAACAGCCCCAAAGCATGATGTTTCCACCCCCATGCTTCACAGTAGGTATGGTGTTCTTTGGATGCAACTCAGCATTCTTTGTCCTCCAAACACGACGAGTTAAGTTTTTACCAAAAAGTTATATTTTGGTTTCATCTGACCATAAGACATTCTCCCAATCCTCTTCTGGATCATCCAAATGCACTCTAGCAAACTTCAGACGGGCCTGGACATGTACTGGCTTAAGCAGGGGGACACGTCTGGCACTGCAGGATTTGAGTCCCTGGCGGCGTAGTGTGTTACTGATGGTAGGCTTTGTTACTTTGGTCCCAGCTCTCTGCAGGTCATTCACTAGGTCCCCCCGTGTGGTTCTGGGATTTTTGCTCACCGTTCTTGTGATCATTTTGACCCCACGGGGTGAGATCTTGCGTGGAGCCCCAGATCGAGGGAGATTATCAGTGGTCTTGTATGTCTTCCATTTCCTAATAATTGCTCCCACAGTTGATTTCTTCAAACCAAGCTGCTTACCTATTGCAGATTCAGTCTTCCCAGCCTGGTGCAGGCCTACAATTTTGTTTCTGGTGTCCTTTGACAGCTCTTTGGTCTTGGCCATAGTGGAGTTTGGAGTGTGACTTTTTGAGGTTGTGGACAGGTGTCTTTTATACTGATAACAAGTTCAAACAGGTGCCATTAATACAGGTAACGAGTGGAGGACAGAGGAGCCTCTTAAAGAAGAAGTTACAGGTCTGTGAGAGCCAGAAATCTTGCTTGTTTGTAGGTGACGTTATTAAGTGTTTTGCTTTTCTATTATTTCTCTATTCTCTTTCTCTCTGCATTGTTGGGATAGGCCCATAAGTAAGCATTTCACTGTTAGTCTACACCTGTTGTTTACGAAGCATGTGGCAAATACAATTTGATTTTATTACAAACGTGAGAGGCACAAGGCAGTTCAATGGTTAGGACACAGCCGAATCAAACACACAACAATCCTCTACAACAGAAAATAGTATAGTTAGGTTCAGCAGCAGGAGGGAAAGAAGATACACACTAATAATTTGCAGTCAAATGCAACAGTATCGGTTCCAATTTACCTTCCCTGCCTGTATACACACATAACATGTACTGTAGCTATGTGCTACCATACAGCAGTGGTGACCCGTCATTCAGGGCATGTTATTTTGGCATTAATACGTGTCACATATCAGTTTGCAAACAATGTACAAAAATATATAATTGAGTTGATAAAGCGTCATACAAACATGGTCTCTTTTTTGCATTCTAAAGTAAGGCAGCTCCAAAATGCAGGTGTTTCGGCCTAGTTCAGTGCTTTCTGTGGTGGTGGGGCAGCCAGCGGAAAATACGGAGCGTAGAGGTTGGTAATGTTCTCTAGTTGCGCCGTGATTGGCTCAGTGTTCTGTCACTCATGGGGACACTACATCACTGCAAAATCTACTGGTAGAGCTCGAAAATTCAAGCCCCTTGGGTGCTGCCATAGAGTTACATTAGAAGT